TACATGTGTGCAAGAAGTTTAGGTAGCATCCCACAATGGATGGATTGCAAAATTACTGGTTTAATGCTCTGTTTTCCTATCCAAGTCCCTCCACACATAAATTACTTGAAGATCATTATTGTGCAGGTTGAAAATCTCTGCAGATACACAATGCTTCAGCACAGAGAAAAGGGAGGGAGAAGTTAGCACTGTTGAAGTTAGGGGGCCTACAGAGCATTGTGGTTTTCTTCTCTTATGATCCCCTCTGCTCAAGTTGTTAGATCAAGGACCAGCTTAAATGTAATGTGTTCACAATAAAAGCCCAAGCAAACCCATATGTGCTGTCCCCAGACACACTGAAACAGCACACTGGTAAATGCCCATTTTGAAATGCTTTTCACAATAACCTGCAAGTTACATACCTTGCAAGATGCACAATTTAGACTAGGTTTGCAGTGCTTTTAAAAGACATTAAGGCTATTCCTGTCAGTAAGCACTTCCTATATTCCCTTCAAAAATGTTTCAAGAGATTGCCTGAAGGCTTTGTTAGTACAAGAAACTTTATCTGTCAAAGTGCTTTAAACTGACAGATTGTTAACAGAAATCCATTATAGTCAAATCTTACGTAAAATAATATACTGTCTAACAAATAATTATAATAAAATGATAACACTTTGTTAGATAAGAAAAGCCACACTCCTAATGTTTTTTTACTCCTAAAGATATTGAGTAGTGTCCGGTGAGAGTTCCAGAAAGCCTCTGGTCCTGGTACCCAGCTCCAGAGCTATTGACAGGGAACAGAGGCATTTAAACAGTCCCTGTGAAGCCTTAAAAGCAGAGCTGCAAATAAAATCTGGAGAAGAACATGAGGTTGAGTCAAGGCTTCTGGGGAGTATTCTGTGCTTTCTTTCACTCTGTTTAAACCAGTTGAAGAATGTTTTCCACATATATTTAAAATTGTGTACAACTAATACCAGATGACTGTGATTATATTAAACTGTTTCTGCTAGGTGCAAATACTTGAAAAAGATAGAGGATTTAAGTTAGTTCCTGTTTTGTGCATAGGTAACAAATTTGGATGAATTTTAAAAAGTTATACTCTTCATGCTCCACCTGCTTGAAGCAAGACCAAAGGGATCCTTTATTAAGGAAGCTTTCCTTTAAAAGTTTCAAAAATTAGGTTTTTACTGTTGATTTTTAGAGAGATTCTAAGACATGCATTGTTGTTTTGCCAGCACTTATCTCAGCAGTCCTAACTAGTAATCAAAATCATTGAAATTATGTAAAGATGGGCTTTCTAGACATGTTTTTAATGATAAGGTATAGTTATGGCCAAGTAATGAAGCATTGGCCAGTGTAAAATGTTGCTGGAGCCAGAGCTGTATTTCTCACAGGATGCTTTTGTTGTATCACTTCACTGTCATTCCATCACTGACAACTCCAAATGCCTTTTTGAGCATTTATTCCACAACTGCTGCTGCAATTCATCTGCAGTTCATTCATAACTCATCTGTAAATCCCCAGCCCCTTTTCCTTCTGGTTGTCTATAAGACTTCCCAAATGGACACACATGATTAGTGGTAAGGTAGGCAGGTTATGTCCCCTACAAGGTTTTTATTGCTTAAAAAGCATTCAGTGTGCACAGCTTATGCAGCAGATAAGTGTTAATGTTACTTCTGCCATTAGTGTTAATTTGAGCAATTTACTGTTCCTTCTGTCTCCTCTCCCATAGCTGAAGCTCTCCTAAAGGCTTCCTTTAAATTATATTAAAAACAGTTTAGGAGATAAAGATTGTCTCATTATCATTTAACTTTTACAGATTTTAGTCCTTTGCGGAGCTGAAGGGGGAGCAGCTGACACAAGGGAGACTGGAACACCCTGCCAAGGAAACCTCCTATGCAGGACAGAAGTAGACATGCATAAAAAACATGATGCTGTACTACAGAGCTACTCATCTCCCTCTTTAACTGAGGCAACGTGACAGTAGTCATGTCTGTCCTTGAAGGATTGTGTGTTGTGTACCTGCTTGCTAAAATGATCCAAGGAATGATGAACTCTAGGGAGATCATAAGGGGGCATTGATGGTACTGTGGAGGTGTTAGAAGTCAGGTGGGGTTGATTCTGCCTTCTTTCAAGTCCTACCTTCAGAACAGGAAAGGATTTTTACCCACTAGAGCACTTCTCTAGAAGCCTTTAAAGTCCTATTGCAAGAGCTGTTTAATCCCACTGCATTGTATGTTTAGTATAGATTATATAGTGGAGAGGCAGGGCAAGAGAAAAGGCACAGATAACAGGCAAGGAAAAGAGGGATGAATTTCAAAAGCTTCTTTGCTCCTGCAATTATTTGTTATAGACAAAAGTTCTTGTGGATGAGTTTTGCTTTTATTAAGTAGCTGAACAGGTTTGACAAATTTCACCCAGAAGAGGACATTGAGTGCTGTAAGGGCTGATCTAAATGAAATATTATCTCCACTCTGTGAAATTTCACTGCAGACTGAAAGATCACTCTTCTCTTGGAAGAGCTGTTGATTTTTTTATTTTTTTTTTATGTTTTTTATGGTTTTGTTTAATGTGGCCATCTTGCACAAAACTGGCACATCAGTCCTGCAGGGTTTGTGGAAGGCACATTTATGCTAAAGGGAAGGGTAAGTGTTGCCGTTCTCAGTTTCAAGAAAAGCCTTGAAGGTTGCAGTTCAACTAATTTACATTTTTAAATATTGATATTGAATTGGGCTTGTTTTCAGCTTGGCACCTGTCTTTGCAGATACTTGAAAACACTTTCTAAAAATATTATTGAGGCACTTTCAGGGCTGTTGAATTGGCCTAGTTTGATGGGTGGACATTGGCCAGTTGACTTGCAACAGGTCTGGCTTTTAGTACTGCTGATGTCATTGACTTGTTTGGTGGCTCTGGACAGTAACTTCACAACTCTGTGTTTCCATTTTCTTGCCTCTGAAACAGGGGTGGTTATTTTTATTTCCTTTGTAAAATGCTTTGAGATTTGCTCTATACCACAGCAAACATTGCTAGTAGTAGTCATATATATTGTCTTTTAAAGACATAGGAAACTATCTGTGATTCTAATTTAGTCCCTGCAGTTAGTGGGGGTCCCTAAAATAATTCAGAATTAAGAGCTGGGAGAGAATGGCAGTTGTCCAGACATGCCCACACTCCAGAGATGCAACTGCAGGTCCCACAGGTATGTCCAAGCTCACTCTGAACTCTGGCACTGCTACCAGGGTGTCCTTGGTGGTGTGGAGCTCAGCATGTGCTTGGGATGCACCCAAGTAGCTCAGTGGATGGATGCTGGGGTGAGGAGCCCACGCTGAGCTCCATCCTACAGCACTGACACTGCTGGATCATCTCCCCCAGTTAATTTAAAGCTAGCTCAAGTATGTCTGCACAAGCTGTGGTTGGGCTGTGACTGCAGCATAAAAATGCACCCTACAGGAGGCCACAGGCAGCCAGAGCTTCTGAGAAACTGTCTTAGTTACACTTGCAATCAAGCACAGGCTGCTGGCATCATTTCAAATTCACCTTACCTTTGGCTCATCATTCTTCATACTCTGCAAATACAGCTCAGCTCTCAACGACTTCCCTTTGAAGGTTTTTTTATCATCTTCACCTATCATGTATGGTGTTCTAGACTAGATAATGCTTTTAAGAAAAAATAATTTAAATGCCTCAATTTTCATTTTAGTTGCCATTTTATCCATACATAACTCTGATCTACATTCTTTCCTATTCAAAATGTGGAGGAAGCTTTAACATGGTGACAGTTATGCTGAGAAGTAGGCACTGTCACTGTTTGGAGAGAGAGAAATCGAGGCAGAGGAAAATTTATCTGCCATGGAAGACAAGGTGGGAGAAGGAATTGGTTCTATTTATTTATTTTTTCCCTAGGGGAACCAGTAGTGTTGGGATCACATGGACTGTATCAGTAACTAACAAACTCACAAACAATTGCAACTTAATTCATTTTTTTGCCCAGTCCTCTGTTTTTGTACATCTTATACCTATGTTTATAAGAAAAGTTGTAAGTACACTTTAAAATTACACAGCAAATTAATAATAAATTAAATAATTCAGTATTTTATAGAATGATCCTCCTAGGATGTATCAGATAAATAAAACATGGGTTAGAAGTGCCTCTGAATGAGGGTGTTATAGGAAAGGCATCTCAAAAATCAAGGAGTAATAATCATATCTTTTTCTGGTTTATAGTATTCTTTAATATATTTACAATATTTGGCTCCAAATTTAATTGCTTATGTGTAAGGTATACATTGAAAGGATCTAGCTTTAAGTCTCATTAGCTGTGCTAAGTATCAATTCATTTGGCAAAATAATCTCCCAGAAAACAATTTGTGCCAGTTCAATGCTCTTTGATGGCTGATTTCTCAAAGATCTATTCTGAGTATAGAAAGGAGCCACATGATTCATTCAGCTTGTGCATATCTATTTTATCTCTATAGAAGGATTATATATGGAGAGATAAAGGTTTGTTAAACAAAGTATCATTAATCACCCTGTCCGGAAATGTAGACTTTGCAGGAGCATGCTGTAATTTGCATCACTTTTGCTATGCCTTGTCACTGCTGCTGGAGAGAAATAAAAAACCTCTATTTATGAAAAGGACAGGTTTAAGATGAAAATAATTCTATCCGAAAACTGTGAGAATGGTACAGAATCCTGTCGCCTGCACTCGATCAACGGGAGAACACTGTATTTGTAATAAATTCCTTTTGCTCTGGATGAGTTCTGCATTTTCAATGAGGTTAACTTGGCAACATTCTAGTTGATTTTAATAAAAATAGCTGCTTTGAGGACAGGGAGCTGAGGTTGCCAAATTTACAACTGCCTTGCACAATTACTCTTACACCTCCTTCAGGGCTACTTAGAACCAGTAAGCAAATTAAGTGTATCGATTGCAATTTTGTTGGACTAACCCTTTTTTCTTAAGGAATAAACTTGATTCCTTTCAGTATGTGTCTGCTCAGAGTGATCTCGTTTCTTTTCAGCCATAACACAAAGACAACATCATGGCTGGATCCACGACTTGCGAAAAAGGCTAAACCTCCAGAAGAGTGCAAAGAAAATGGTAGGTGATTAAGTTTTCCTTGCTGTTCAGAGGGGATTTTCCTTTGTGTGTGTGTGTCTTTCAGTTCGTACAAAAATCAGGCATTTGGGGGAATGATGAAAGGTGCTTAATTGCTGCTTTGGTTAGAAGCCATAAGTGATACCAGTTCTCAGTGTGCCATGTGTTTCTGCTTTTTATTCCCCTTTCTGATGCTATCCAAAGCTGAGGATCACAAGTGTGTTTTCTGCCTGTTGTGTGTGTGACTCCGGGACTGACCCTCTCCCTCATCTCCTACAGAGAACTTTGGTCTGCAGAACAGAATCCTTTTCAGATTCTGAGCTTTTAATCTACAGGCGATTCAATGCATAAGGGAAACTAGCAGCACCGTGGGAATATGAATATTGTTTGATTTGTATTTAAAGGTACAGTGCTATGCTATTTAGTAGCCAATTTAAACAAAATAGTGTCTGATAAAACAGGGTGTGGGAGGGAGAAAAGAGATCAGTGTCTGTCAGAGTTCAAGGCTGGATTCGGGGGGTGCTACATTGCTAATGCTTTAAAACTTAAAAGCATACGTACTGCTGAGGATGTTTAAAGGAGCTGGAGCTGTTGTGCAGGAGAGATTATATTGACAGATTCAGAGATCTGAAATAATACAAATAATATGAGTACAATTTCTAATTTTTCTCTGGTAAAGTTTATTAGTAATCAATATCATTTAATAAAGTCAAGGCAAGAATGTGTTGTAATTGATCTGTTTCTGATATGGGGGTTTTCTTTCATTGTTTTATACTTCCATGTCAGTTCAATTAGTCAGCTGTTAAGATTTCTAAAGACATCTACTTATTTTATTGTTGTGAGATACAGAGCATTAAATGCATGCATGCTATGTGCTTTAATTCAAAGCATTTTTAAGTATTTTAAATATATTCATAAGTTTTCATGTACTGCATCTGATTTATTTTAAATTTTGCAAAATACATTCATTTGGTTAATGTAAATACTATTAACAGAAAGGAAACTAAGGGCTGATTAAGAGGTCACTGTGGAGTCACTGGCTATATGAATTGCAGGGTCAGTGGTTTGGTAAAAAAAATGTTTCTGGGTTGGATTTTTTTGTAAATGGCTTTCTTTTGAAAGATTGCTATATTCCAAAAATCACTCCTTTATTTCAGCAGCAATTCTGACGTTCTCTTCTGACATCAGAAATTACATGTCTGAATGATTTTGTGATGCTTATTCTAGCACGGACAACATGAGCTCCCAGACTAAATTCTACAGTGATTACAATAGAGGTCTGATACTGAAACAAAACAAGGGCACAGGAGATTAGATTTTTAAATCTCTCACATTACTTATATGAATCTATTCCTTAACTGGCTTCTTAGAAAATGCTAGTGTAAAAAGCAGGCACAATATCTGTGGAGTAACATTGCTCAGAGGTACTTGGAGTAAATATGTGTTGCTTTTTTTTTTTTCCTGTTAACTATTGTATACTGATACCAGAACAGCACTGAGATATTAAAAAATATCTAAGTATCTGAAACAATTTAAAATGAATATCAGTGCATTAAAGAAATAGCATTATTTTATAGTTATTTGACTACTGGATTACTGAATCACTATTGTATGCTGGGTCATGTTGTTCTTTTAAGGTTGCTCAGCTCATTAATGCAAAGTACTTGGAGTGATGCATAAAAGACTTTAGGGAGGGATTTTCTATTCTTACAGTGATTGTTCTTCCAACATCCTCTCTTTTCTAAGGTTCTTCTGTTTTTCAAAATTGTCATTCGTCTTTTTTTTTAAATCCAATACCTGCAGAGGAAAAAGTTCTTAAAAATCACTTATATGCCTTAAAATGCTTATACCTTGTCATGGAGGTCCAACTCAAAGGAGTTTGCTATAGCACACAGGGATCTGAAATTTTTGTTTAAATTTAATCTGATTTCAAGAATTAATTTCAGCTATGGCTTGGTAAATTTTTTATACCAAACACCTTTTCTGTTACACTTTGTGTTTTATTCTGGCACACTTTACTCAGAGATACAAAATTTTAGAAAGACATCAGTGTTTAGATAGGAAATTATACTTACCTTGATGCTTTCTCACTAGATGCATAACTCTTGCACTGGCATTCATTTTGTCACATCTGAAACTCATATTGATTCTCTGAGATACATTATGATGTCTTTATCATCTACCAGATTCTGCTATCAGGTTTTCACTGTGAATAACCCAACTTTAGTATTCTCCTTTCAGTGCAAATCCTGCCAAGTCCTCCTTCTTCATTCTGCCACCAGCATGCAGTTTCCACACCAGACAAGGTCCAAGCAGAGTAAAATATCAGAGTCCTGATGTTCTAGGCTGTTCTAGAACTCCCTCTGCTCCAGGCATTTCCTCTCTTCTACTTTTTGCTCTTCAATACTCCTTTGACAAATATAATTTCTTCATTATCTCTGGCTTCTGTAGCTGCAAATCCCCGTGCTTGATCATTTCCTTTCACAAAATCTGAGTCAACCTTCCAGCTCATCCCTCCTCTTGAAACATTTTCACATGCTTTTGCCAAGAGATTGACGATCTCTACCAAGTCAAGCTTTCTTCACCTGCATGGTGTAGACTCTTTCTGGTTTTTTTTAATGACACCTACTGCTCTAAAGCCCTTTGTAGGTCAGGAGATTTTAAGTGCTGATCTTCATTTCTGTCTCTATGTCATGGAACTTTTGTGTGAGTTTCAGCAAATTACTTTGACTTATGCTTTGCCAGACCTACTTAGGTGGCAGGACTTTAAAGCAAGAACTGCCTCTTCTTCTCTGTTTTTATGGTGCCAATCTGAGTTTCATAATAGCAAGAAGTAATAGCTGGCAGTTCTACAATAACAGCTGCAATCTTTACACATTTCTGATCTCCTCCAGAAAATCTTGACCTTAATAGAAATAATTGGCATTTCACTGCCTGCTGAAAATATAAACTAAATAATTTGGTTTTCCGAATTTAAATACTACTTTTAATTATTTTTTTTCACATCAAAATTGGTTAAACAATTATTATGTGTAGAGTAACTAGAGAAGTTATAGTTCTGCCCCCTTTACATCTGTGAGCTAGATTCCCTCATTGCTAAATTTCCTGTAAAGTCATATAACGTAGCAGATTCACAGGCTTTGCATGATTGCTGGTATATTATGTGAGTGGTCTTCTAACTGAGTCTGTTCTTCAGGAAAGAATATGGAGAAGAATGGCAAGTCCCATAAGGCAGTAAGAAATGTAGTTTAATACTGAAAGGCAGCTCAGCTGTAATGACATGAAATATCAGAGGGTTTAGAAAGTTCATTTTTCATTAAAAAATGAAGCAATTAATTTTTTCAAATTCTTTAATTCATTTTAGGGGACTTTTATTCTGGAGAAATATCAACAATTTCTTCTGTTTCCAGTTTGGGGATTAAACTGCTCTTGAAATTTCCTGGGATCAGATATGTCAAGTTTCACTTATTTCCTCTAAAAATTTCACTGATTTCATTACTAATCCATCCTAAGCCATAGTGTCTATCACTCTTAGCCCTCCTTCTTTTTATGTCAACCTTCTTTCTCCTATCCCCTAGTTTTCAAATACAAGTAGGCCTACAACTATAAATAAAACTTTGATTTCACCTAGCATTCATCTGTCATCTCTCTTTCCATCTCCTCTACACCCACCAACTTGACTGCAAAATATAGATGTTTGTGTAGGGTGAGCCGAGTTGCCTTTATACTTCATTGACTGCAAATGTCAGCTCAGCTTTGACACTTAGAGGACACAGACACCTGATTCACCTGTGTAAACACCTGTATACAGACAGACTGCTGCATTTCATTGCCTTCATGTTGAACTGAACCCCACCCCATCCCATTTTGCTGGGTTATGTATCCCCATTCCTGCAGTCACAGGTGGTACCTTTGATGCTCTCACTGCCCCACACAGCTCTTCTGCAGAATTCATCATTGGTTACCTGATTCCTTATATGCTGTAGTAAGATGTACCAACCTTTCATTTTTTCATTTTATAGATGCTTTGGGGCACAGGCATGCTGGTTTTATGGGCAAAGCATTACTTCTTGATTCTGTTACACATATTTCTCACTGGAAGCCATGTAGTGAACTTTTATCTTACATGGATACTGGTTATGTTTTCTGATGCCTTCTAATGGCAACTTGTAGAGGGTAAATACTTTCCTACAAATAGGTTTTTATTCAATTGTTTTTACTTAGAACTCCCTTTTGCAGATTATTAATCCCATTTTAAGTATTATTTAACCAGTTTTGTAATGGAGCTGGCATTACTTGTAATAATATTGATCACAATGATTTTTTTTCTGTCATTTCTTGGCATATTGAACATGGTTTTCTCAAGCTTGCATTTTCAATTTTGGGTTAATTAAACCATGACAAAATATCTTGAACTGTTATGACCTTTGGAAGGGCATTTCATGCTGGCAACACCATCTGGGCATTCATTGACCCAAACACCATTCCACACCAGACTCATAATAATGATAATAAAAGTAAGAAAAGGGCCACCTCATTAGATTTTCTTCCTAGGAGTTCACAAGACACTTCTCTGGACAACTGGTTCAGTGACACAGCTTATAAGAGTAATTCTTCATTCTTGGATAAGTTTCAAGACAATCAGCTGTCCATGTGTACATACCTTGGCTGGCTGTGTGCCGGGCAACATTCTGGTATCTCCCTGGGGGAGGTCCTGCAGAGAGTGAAGCTTCCTTGGAGGACACTCATCAGCGTCAGAGATAAATCCTTTAAGCTGTAATGGACTACTAAGTATTATTTTGCCTTCAGAACCATTACAGCTTCTCACAGTCTCAGCCACAGAAATCCCTACAGAGTGCTAACACTAATCTTAAATAGAGTTGGTAATTGCAAGGAAAATGAGTAAAAGTAGAGAAAAAAACCTTCTATTTTCCTTCAGTATTTAGTGAGCACTTGGCTCTCTTGCACTCACTGCTCCCACTACTCACACAGATAGTGCATTT